CCCTTCTGCTCTTCCAGAAACAGCCCTAGACCTCAACTACCTCTGCCCCATACCCCTGCTCCCCAGCCCTAGATCTGCAGCCTGGGTTTCTGTTTCCCTGGCCTTGTGTGAGCAGGACAGCAGTGGGTGAGGGCGAGGGCTTGTCGAGGTCCTGCCTCTGCCCATGAAGCTGGAGTCAGGACGTGAACTCTGTTCACGTCAGCCAGCACAGGGAGTAAGGGAAAAGCGGATCTTTCAGAAGAGTCCCTGGCGGCCTTGGAACCCTGGGGTGGGAAGTGTGGAGGGCAGAGCTGGCATTGCCCAGCTGATATTCAGCATGGGTTCCGTGCTGCCCGCTTTTGTCGCTGGTCTGCAGTACTCAGGGACACCTGGAGGGGGCAGGTGTGCGCTGGCATGAGCTCAGACTAAAGGCCTTCAGGGGAGGTATACAAAATGCAGCCCTCATCAGCCTCAGATGGAGAGTGGCAGGGATGGAGAGCAGCAAGTGTGTTCTGGATGGGTGCCAGGCCTGCTTTAGGCTTCACGTGTACAACTCACTAGTTCTTGGGATTTTCGTGGCTGAGTGAGGTTCCCTGGTCAGGGGACATCCAGGCTATTTCCCTTGGCCAGTGTAAGTCAGCTTCTGTGAGTGACGAGGTGTCAGTGTTTTTGTGGACGTGTGTCGTGGTTCTTCTTGGATACTTAGAGGTGGACTTGCTCTGTAACCATTAGAGGAACTGCTGGACTGTCTCTCAAAGTGGCTGCACCTGTCCTTGTCCCCAGTGACCAGTCCTTACTACTGGTGCAGGGTCCCATGCTGGTCACCTGCCGTGTGAGCTCTGAGAGGCGAGGTGAGGCCTGGCCTGGTCCACGGGCTGTGCAGGGTGCAGAGCCTCACAGCCAGGGCTCAGATGTCCCAACAACATGATCTGCTTCCGGAATGTTCCAGAAATGTCAGCCAGGCTCCCAGGGCTGGCCCCATCCTGCCATAGGCGGGGATGTCTGTCCCTGCTCTTGGTCTTGGCATTTGCTGTGCTGGGGGAGTGGGTGCCCGGCCTCCGCTGACCCCTCTGTGTCCGCAGCCCAAGCGGGAAGAAGTTCCGAAGCAAGCCTCAGCTGGCGCGCTACCTGGGCGGCTCCATGGACTTGAGCACCTTTGACTTCCGCACAGGCAAGATGCTAATGAGCAAGGTGAACAAGGGCCGGCAGCGGGTGCGCTACGACTCCCCAAGCCAGGTCAAGGTGAGCCCGCGGGAGCTGCTGCTGGAGGCGGTGGGGGGGGCGGGGAACTCACCCCACCACCACCACCCTCCCCCCCCCTCGTCCTGGAGTTAGATGCGTGGCTGCTCCTTGGGGGGAGACTCGGCGGCTATGGAAAAGCAGAAGAAAGATCAGGACCTGCCCGTCACCTGCCCAGGGGAGGCCCAGCTGTGGTCTGTGCTTGGGCACCTGGCGCCTGGAGTGTCTACAAGTCTCCAGTAAACAAGCGTTCAGGGACTTTGTCCCTGCCCTGATTGCAGGACAGAGGTGGCTAAGGGCGCCCAGCCTGTGCTCTGCAGAGAACGGGACCATGAGGCAGGAGGGGGCAGATGTGTGTCCACAGCCTCCAACCAAGCTCACCAAGGGCAGCACATCAGCCCAGGCCTGGGCATAGCATTGCCTCTGGTTCAGGGGAGCTGGGGACCCTGAAGCCCTGAAGTACAGCTTCCTCACTGACAAGAAGGCCCTCTGAGGACCTCCCCATCCCATCTCCACAGGGTAAGCCTGACCTGAACACGGCCCTCCCAGTCAGGCAAACAGCATCCATTTTCAAGCAGCCAGTGACCAAGATCACCAACCATCCCAGCAACAAGGTGAAGAGTGACCCCCAGAAGGCTGTGGAGCAGCCCCGGCAGGTGAGCCCGCACACATACCTTGATTGCTTGCGGCAGCAGGCCTGCCTCTGGGTCAGGTGGGCTCTGGAGCTCGATCCACTCTTCAGAGCCCAGTTGGTGGGCCCAGGGCTCGCAGCACTGTGATCAGGAGCCATCATCATGGAGTGTAGTCCCACGGGAAGCGGGCTCCCCACCTCCCCCCCACACACACACAAGGGGCCTCCTGGGCTGCCACTGTCACAAGCAGGTCAATGATGTTTCACATATGTAGTACTGTGAGTTGTTTTCCAAAAACCAAGACTTATCACATTTTCACGTGTGTTTACAAGCGTCTGGTAGATAGCGAGGTGTGGGGGTGCTGGCCCGGGTTGGGAGGCCATGGCTAGCACAGAGGAGACGCTTGGAAGACCCGCAGGGCAGGGGTCCCACTGTGGGCAGTGCCCTTGGTGCCATGTGGGCTGCAACCCTCCAGGTAACAGGTCAGAAACCTCTGTGTGCCCCCTCTGCCATTTAGGTCTTCACCCCTTAGACAGCCTTCCCAGGTCTCAAGGTAAAGCCTGAGGGTGCGCGCTCACTGCATGCCCAGGGCCTCAGGCCCGTGAGGGTGCGCGCTCACTGCATGCCTAGGGCCTCAGGCCCGTGGCTCAGCCCAGGTGGAGACTGGGCCTCCTGACCTCCAACCTCGGGGTGAAGGAACCACAGACCAACCAGCAGCAAGTCCGATGTCTGGGGTATTCATCCTGCCAGAAACGGGGTTGGGGTTTCTCTGCCCTGGGGTGCAAACAGCCCCAGCAAGTGTGGGGTCAGAGGTCACACTGAGACCCCAGCCTAGCCCCTGTGTTGCCTGCTGTGGGGGCGGGTGGCCTGGGAATCCCCTCGCCTGATATGTGTCTGGTGGCAGCTGTTCTGGGAGAAGAAGCTGAGCGGCCTGAATGCCTTTGACATCGCAGAGGAGCTGGTGAAGACCATGGACCTCCCCAAGGGTCTGCAAGGTGACCTGCCACAGGGGGAGCAGGGGACAGGAGGGACAAGGCTCTGGCTCCCCCAGCCTGGGGCCAGCCAGGGTGCACTTGACCCTGGGGACGGGACAGTCACTGGTCCTGAGAAGCCTTGGGGGTCTGGTTTCCCTGCTGTCACTGCAAGGGCAGCTTGTGCTCCTGTGTCACCGCGGGCTGCCCACCCGCAGAGAGAGGTTCGGGACGAACCTGTAGAAGGGCTGAGGGGGCAAGGCTAGTGACCATCCCCCATGCCCAGCAGGAGTGGGTCCTGGCTGCACAGATGAGACACTGCTGTCGGCCATTGCCAGTGCCCTGCACACCAGCACCACGCCCATCACCGGGCAGCTCTCAGCTGCTGTGGAGAAGAACCCGGGGGTGTGGCTCAACACAGCCCAGCCGCTCTGCAAGGCCTTTATGGTGACTGATGAGGACATCAGGTAGTTGCCCCTTCCTCCTTCCCCACAGGCTGTGTGCTCCAGAGAGGCCAGGTCTCTTGGCCATGCAGTAGCTTCTCTGTGCTGGACTAGGAGCCCCTCAAGGGGCCCTGGGTGGGGGGTGGGCAGGAAACTGCACGGTAGAGCAGCTGCACCTGGAGTGCTGGGGGTTGGTGAGAGGGGAGCCCCGTGAGAGGGCGGGGACCCCGCTTAGACCACACACGCACAGGCGTCACATGGAGGGAGTGGGCAGGAGGTGGCAGAAGTGATAGGTCAAGACGCAACTGTGTGAGAGTCTGGGTGACGTTTAAAGCACCACTTGGAGAAATAGAGTCAGCAAGGTGGGGACCACAGGGCCCAGGTGGGACTGTGGCCTTGGTCTTGCCTGGAGGGGGCGCTCTTGGCCATTAGTGTGGGGGCACGAGGATGGGCTGGTAATGGTAGAAAGTCTTGTCCACGTAGAGAGGGGCCAGGCGTGGAGGAGGCAGGGAGGGCCCAGGTTGACTGCGGCCCACTTGGCAGAGCTAGTTTGGGGAGGGGCAACAGCAGTTGTAGGTGGGACAGTGTGGGGCTGGGGTCTGTCTGAGACCAGGAAACCCTGGCCACTGGGTCCCTGTGTCCCCAGGAAGCAGGAAGAGCTGGTGCAGCAAGTCCGCAAGCGGCTGGAGGAGGCACTAATGGCCGACATGCTGGCCCACGTGGAGGAGCTGGCCCGGGACGGTGAGGCACCGTTGGACAGGGCGGGCGCTGACGAGGAGGACGACGAAGAGGAGGAGGAGGAGGAGCCTGACCAGGACCCGGAGATGGAGCATGTCTAGAGCAGGTGCCACCAGGCCTCGGCCCTTTTGTGCCTGTGGCGGCAGTGCTGGGCTGGCCAGGCACTCACGCCACCCAATCTGTCTCTGCAGGGGCCCCGCCTGCCAGCCCGCCCGCATGGGGCCACCTCAGACTCGGCCCTCACCCTGCCCTGGCGTGCCCCCTCCCCTGGGCCACAGGAGCTCGGCTGAAGGACGGCCCCTTGCCTGACGGACCCCCCACATCTGCTTCTCTGAAGGGCCTGGCCCGTCCGCAGGGAGGCCCCCGCTCAGGTGGTGGCTCCACGTCGCACTCAGGCCAGCCTGGTCCCCATGGCCACTGCCCTGAGCTCCGCACACAGGACAGCTGCCACCAGGCTGCCTGCAAGGCTCCCCAGTGCTGGAGAAACCTGTGTGGAACAGTCTCACCTCCGACTTGTGCCCGTGAGGGGTGATGTCCCAGGGCCCATGTCAGCGCTCCCAGAGGCAGCGCAGGATGGCTCCCCAGGCCCACCGGCCGGGCACAGTGCACCCGCAATAAACTCACGGTCCCCCGGGGGCCAGACGTCTCCATTGCTGCGAACCTTCTGTTGGCTGCACACTGATGGGAACTCGGGCCTCGGCACCTGAAGACCTCGCTGTCTCCGACCTGGCCTAGCCCAATGGTCAGCACCATGGACGGAGAACTGCTCATAGCTAGACTCGGGCCAGGCTCCAGGGTAGCGCCACCCTCGAGCCTGGGTCTCACCAGGTGCATTTCCTGCCAGCCTGTGTGGCAGCCTCCACAGAGCAAGGCGAGCAGAGTCGTGTTGCCCCACTCCCAACAGCCGGAGGGCCTGGGCGAAGGGAGACCCTGCTGCCTGAGTGGAACCTGGCCAGCACCCTTGCCGCAGCCCATCCATCAGCCTGGAGGCTTGAGCCATGGCTGGTGTGGCTTGTGAACGCCAGACCTGTCCCGTGCCTGCCGCACCTGTGGCCATGACTGTCCGGAGAGGCCTGGGTCACTGCCTCATTTGTCCGGACTCCCTGGGCTGTGGTGGCCTGCTGGCGGGGTGGTGGTGGCTTTGGGAACCTCCGGGGGCTGGGTCACACTGCCGGCTCCCTCTGAGGACACCAGCCCGGGAGGCTGGCTGACCCGGTCCTCCCAAATTCAGTCAAAGCACACAGCCTTGAGGACTGGCACTGCCCCATGGAGGCTGCAGCACCACTGCCCAGGCAGCCACAGGCCCCAGGAAGGCCCCTCCGCCACAGCCCTGAGGGGAGCCAGGAGGCTTCTGTGGGTGGCTTCGAATAAAGCGTGTCAGGCGAGTATGGCCTAGGGCTTTGTGTCAGTCCAAATCCAGGGGTTTTGTGTCCATGTGCCGGGAGCCTCCCTCAAATTCATCATCTCCCCAGGCCAGAGAGTGGGAAGGATGGTGGGTGGCTTCCCCATGGCCCTAGACAGGGTCTCCTGATGATCAGGCCCCAGCAGTACGAGTGAGAGAGCTGGTCCCACCCACCCAACTCCAGCAGCCCTTCCACCCCTGGTGGAGTGGTCATGGCTGGCTTTTCTCCCGAGCCAAAGCCAGGCTCAGGAGCTGGGAGAACCCCGGCTCCTCTGCTGCCCGGCCACTTAGCCTGGACCCTCAGAGCTGCTGTCTGCATCCACAGCTTGTCAGGGCTTTGGTGGCCTGAGCCCTCCTCAGTCCTACTCTGTGGCCCTTATAGGCGTGGGCAGGGCTAGTCCCACCAGAGACTCCAGGGGAGCACCAGCTCCTGCCTTTTCCAGCTCTTAGAGGTGCCGCGTCCCTGGCTTGCAGCCCCTCCCTCCCTCCATCCTCACAGCAGTGCAGCATCTCCTGCCCCCTTCTTATAAGGACCCTGTGATGACACTGGGACCCCCAGGGAATCCAGGATCATCCCCATCTCAGGGGCCTTAGCTTAATCCCTCCTGCAAAGTTTTCTCTGCCCTGTGAGGTAAAGTGTCCACAGGCCCCAGGGTGACTTTGGGGGACATTACCCTGAAGATAAGTTTTCTGTTCAGTGGAGGCAGCTTCTGCCTGGCCATGTGGCCAGGCCCCTGCAACCTCAGCTTCCCCCAGCTCACTGTAGCCTCTTGGGCTTTGCTGCTGCTGTCCCTTCAGGGGATAAACAGTTGTTACAGAAGCCCTGGAAACTCATCACCTCAGGATCCCCCAGGTTCATGGGCCGGGGATGACTTGGGACAGTGATGCCTGGAAACAGTTTGGGACTTTCTGGTCAGAGGAAGCAGTGGGACCCCCACCAGTCACATGTGGCCATGGATATAGAAATCGGTGACAACTTAGGCACCGCATTCCTCAGCTGCCCTGGCCACATGGGACTGGGGGCCATGACTGGACAGAGTAACAGAGAACATCTTCACACTGCCCAAAATAGGGGTGCTGATTCTCTGGTTGGGGGAGTCAGGGGTGACACCCCTAAGATCAGGTAAGTCTTTTCAAAAAGTGACTGCCAGGGCTTTCCTGATCGCTCAGTGGTAAAGAATGCCTCTGCCAATGCGCAAGACATGGGTTTGATCCCTGATTCAGGATCAGGATGCCACATGCCTCAGCAACTAAGCCCCTGCACCAGAACTGAATCTGGCATGTTCTGGAGCCCATGCTCCACAAGAGAAGCCACCACAGTGAGAAACCCTGAATCACAACTAAAGAGTAGCCACCACTCTGCAACTAGAGAAAAGCCTTTGCAGCGGTGAAGAGCCAGCATGGCCATAAATAATTTTTTTTTTTTAATGATGGCCAAAGTGTCTATCCACTGGTGAATACAAAAATCCAGCTCCTCCAGACACAAGAGCATCACTCGGCCACAAAAAACAGAGAAGCTCTGACACTTGCTACCATGGGTGTGGATGGGCCCTGAGAACACGCTGGTCAGTGAGAAGCCAGATATAACCACACCGTGATGTTAATTTTAGGGGTCAACTTGACCAGGCTGAGGGGCACCCAGATAGCTGGTAAAACGTTTCTGGGTGTGTCTACACAGATGTTTTTGGAAAAGATGAGCGTTTGATTCAGTAGACTGAGTAGAAAAACATCCTCACCAATTTGGGTGTCAGCCGACCCATCAGGGACCCTTTGCAACAGTATATTCTGATGTTTTACTAGACTTTAAGAACAAGGTTGAGAGCATTTTAAGTGACCACCCAGGCCCTCCATGCCAGATGCGTGGGTGTGGGGGGGTTAGTGGTCCTCTGCTTGGTGATTCTGCACCCAGGGAGGTCTGGTGCATCGCACTGTCCCCCCAAAAGATCTGGATCCCAGCCCCTAAATCTGTGAGTAGTACCTTGTGTGGAAACAGGATCTTTGCAGATGTCACTATAAAGATGAGGTCGCACAGAGTAGAGTGACCCTGAACCAAGGCCTGGTGCCCTCATAAAAAGCGAGGACACAGCCACACAGGGAGATGAACACAGTGATTCATGGGTGGAAGCTGGAGAGATGGCACCACAGAAAACTACTCCAGGGAGTAGAGGTGACTCCAGGCATAAAGTGGGTAGGGCCAGGAAGACTGCTCCATACCCCACAGCGCACCCCATGCCCTGAGGATGTTGTTGGTTAGTCGCTCAGTCATGTTCAACTCTTTGCGACCCCATGGACTATAGCCCTCCAGGATTCTCTGTCCATGCAATTTCCCAAACAAAAATACTGGGATGGGTTGCTATCTCCTCCAGGAGATCTTCCCCACCCACAGATCAAACCCACATCTGCATTGGCAGGTGGATTCTTTACCCCTGAGCCATCAAGAAAGACCCAGCCACAAATGTCCACAGTGCCAAGGGGAGTACCCTGCTCAGGGGTCCAGGACTGCCATTTAATTTGTAGCTTCCCCCAACCCCCATCCACCTTTCTGTCCATCCCTCCCTTCATCTTATTTCTGATACATTTTGAAGGAGAGACCACCCCCTGCCCCTAAATACTTCAGCATGAAAATCACTTAAGAGATTGGTGGTTTGCAATTCTACAAGGACTTTTATTTATTTTTACTGTAGAGCTCTTTAATTTTTATTTTATTAAAAGGACTTTTAAAGCACATCACCACAGGGCCATCGTGAACAAATCCACATGTACGTACAACAGGTCATTGTTCAGGTGTCTCCAACTGCACGTTGAAATCAAGGCTCCAGAGTCCCCATTCCCCCTTTTCTCTCTTCATTATTGTCCATTTTTTGCCTGACAGCCTTCTTTTAAAATCACAGTCTTTGCTTCTGATGATTGGTTCCCCTCATACCCTCAGTGGCCTCGGTCAAACCCCTCAGATGATCATCCAGCCCCACATTACTCACCTTCCTGGGGCAGCACCTGTTTCTTCATTTACTTACTCACTTGTTTTGCTGGAGTGCATCCTGCAGTATACTAAGCTAATCTGTGATGACCTGCCAGCCTGAAACATCCTGACTCCTCCTCCCTCTTGATAGGGACCTTGGGGTCAGTCATCACTTTCCCCAGGGAGCTCGACTTTCTTCCTGATTCTTTGGAATGTGACATGAAAGCCCTTGGTGGTCCCAGGACACCTGAGTCCCCAGAACAAGTTGTGAGGTCCTAGCTGTTTGGAGGCTCTGATTCCACTATCCCTTCCATTATTTCCCGGACAACTTACGTCCACTTTCCCTTTCCTCTATTTTCTCTTCCCCCATCTTTTGTCTCTTTGCTTGACTTTCTGGGAGAGTTCCTGCTGATGGTGAACTCCTGCTACTGTGCTGTTAACTCTCACTAGTCTGAGCTTGTCTGAAGAACACGTATGTGCATGCACGACCACCCACAGGGGTGCACCCAGGACAAGCCACTCTGGCCTGTTCCCCATCTGTCACCAGTAAGGGCTGGATACCACTTTGCCCCAGCTCCAACACTGTCTCCTCCATTCCTGACCTCTCCTCACCCCACCTGAGCCCCCTTCTCAGGATCCAGCATGCCACCCTGGGTGGGATCCCAGGAAGGGGGAAGGATGAGCAGGCACCAAGCCCCGCCCCGCCCCCAGGGGGACTTGAGGCTGGCCAGGTGGGCCAGGGCAGGTCCCCCTGTGCCCTGAACACTAGCTACAGCCAGCAGAACTTTGGGTGAGGAAACAGGACAAAGCCTGTGGCTGGAACAGAGGGAGGCATGGGAGGGAGCGCCGGGGTCACACTGAGTGCTTCCTGGGAGCCCAGCAGTTCTGTAGCTCCAGTGCCTGCCTCCAGGAGCCCAGTACTAGGAGGGAAGGGACAGACATAAGTCAGGATGAAGTAATCAATACCTGAGAGCATTCAAACACAGAAAAGGAAAAAAGTTCCTCTCAGACCCCAAGAGAGAAACTGGGTGGAATGCAGCCTGGGGTCAGGAAAGGCATGAGAAGGCAGGGAGCTGAGGGCTTCAAGAGGCAGGGGGCACCTGCCAGGAGAGACAAGAGTCCATGAAGAGAAGAGACCAGGTGAAGGACATCTAGTCATGGGAGCAGCTATGGCTGAGGGACTCCATGGAATTCAGGGCAGGAACCCAAGTCCGGTGAGGATGACAGGAGACCCAAGGGAGAGACAGACCAGTGTTGGGCAAAGGGGCAGGCCGTCCCCTCTCCCACCCAAAGAGCCCATGCAACTGTCCTGAGGTTCCGTCCAGCCAGGGACTGGGGCCAAGGTCCCCTTGGCGACTCGGCGGGCCAATCCTCCTCCCAGCCCATCTATTTACCTGTAAAGGGAAACCGGAAGGCTCTTTCGCCCCAAAGGCAAAAAGAAGGCCCTGAAGGGCCGATGGAGGCCACTAGGACCGGATGGCTTTAGGCGTGGGCACGCGGGGCCGCTCTCTTACCCAGCGGCGCTCACGTCTGAGGGCTCTGGCCTGTGGAAACTAGCCCAAGCCCGGAAACACCACCACTTAGGGGATGTGGGTGCCCGTGACCTCCCGGGGCTGCCCAGAGGCCAGGTGTGCACGGGGAGGAAGGGGGCTGGAGTACACAGCCCGGCCGAGACGCTAAGGGGTCTCGGAGTGGGGAGCCCGGGACCCCGGCGCAGAGGCGAGGATGAGGCCAGACGCCCTAGCGCACCCTGGGCCCGGGCCGCCGCGGGCACCTACCTGCGGCCGCGCCCGCANTCGGGGCTGGGGCTGGGGGGCGCGGGCGACCAGGACGAGGAGGGGGCGACCGCAGGCGGCGGAGACGGGGCTGGTGCAGCGACTGGGGGCGCAGACGGCGGGGCCGCGGCGGAGCCGGCGCCCCCCGACGGGCCTGAGACGGGGGCGCCCGGGGTGGCCGTGGCCCCCGGTCCGCTGCCGCTGCTGGAGCCGGACGTGAGCCCCCCGCCGCCGCCTCGGCCGTCGCCGCCCGACGTGTTCGCTGGCTTCGCGCCCCACCCCGCGGCGCTGGGCCCCCCGACGCTGCTGGCCGAGCAGATGAGCGTGATCGGCAGCCGCAAGAAGAGCGTGAACATGACCGAGTGTGTGCCCGTGCCCAGCTCCGAGCACGTCGCCGAGATCGTGGGTCGCCAGGGTGAGTGGCCGCCGTCGGGGGCGCCGCCCCAGGGGTTCCCGCGCAACTCGCCCCCGGAGGGGCCGCCCAGCCCAGCCCACGGCTGGACACCAGACCCCGGCCACGCCCCGCGTGGGCTCGGGCCTCGGTGGCCGCCTGTGCGCCTTTGTCCTGCCGCTGGCCGCGGGAGAAAGTTGGGCGCGGCCCCGCGCTCCTCCCCTCGGCGCTCCGGCCCCGCTGCCGCCTTTGTCTGGGTGCCTCCAGCCTGGAGAGCGCCCTGCGTGCCCCTCGCTGCCTGGGGCCTGGGCCCCCGGAGGTTCCATCCCGGGGTCAAGGGGGTCGGGCCGGGCAGTGCCCTCTCCACACCCAGAAATGGCCCTGGGCGGTTCGCTCTCGTGTGAGGGGGGCTAGGGGCGAGGGCATTCTGTCAGGGTCAGGAGAGAGATTTGGTGGCACAAAGAGAGTACACCTCAGGACTTGCCAGCCTGGGCACCCTGCTGGGGGTGGGGAACAGGACAGGGTGAGCGAGTATCCCTCCCGGCTGTCAGCCCCCAGTCAGGGATCCGGGGTGTGCACAAGGACCCCCTGTGAAAGCCACTTGGGGGGATCCAGCCCCACAGCTCTCCTCTGGCAAGGGTGTGGGGGTCCCAAAGCAGCATTGCCGGAGGTCTTTGCAGCCTCCCCATTGTTCTCTTTGTTAGAGAGCCAGGCTGGGTGACATCAGGCCGGCGGCCGCTCATTGGCCCTGGAGCTGCGGGGCGGGCGGGCCGGAGGGTGGTGGGCAGTGCCCGGCCCAGCACACACCCACCCACCCTGTTAGCTGCCTGCCCACCAGCCTCAACTTTCTCTTTCCGGCACCTCTGGGCTTGGCCTCGCTGTTAGTCAGCCAGGTTCTAGAACTTGGGGTGGGGCCTGGGCGGGGCTTGAGATGGGGTTGGGGGACCCTGCCTCTGGGACCTCAGTCACAGGAGGTAGAGAAGGGTGTGGGGGGCTTGAGTTGTGAGATGACCTGTCACCCTAACTGCCACGGGCAGAGGACCACAGGGATGCCTGGACACCACCCTCTACTAGTTCCGGGTGGGTGGGGCCTTGGGGCCAGCAAGCCTGCTGCTTCAGCTGCAGGTACATTCAGTCATTCATTTGTCCACCCTACGTGTGGACACACGGACGGCCAGGTGTGGTGCTAGGTCGGAGGACTGCCATCAGGGGGTCCTTGGCTATGGGCAGGTGCCAAGAGACCCCAACTGGACACTTCCCCTCCCTGTGCTGTCCCCTCCCTGCCCGGTCCCCTGTAACCACACTGGATCCTGGAAGAAGACAGCCACCCCACTCCAAGTGTCCGGAAGCCCGTTGGGGGCAGATGTGGAGACTGAGGCCAGGGATGCCGCCCAAGGTCACTAGGCTGATCCATGGATGGTGAAGCATGAGGGCAAGCTCCTGTGGATGCACGTAGCAGCACCTGGGGGTGTGGGCAGCAGGCAGAGGGCCCTGAGCCCTGGTCTCATCTGAGCGGTCTGGTGGCTGAGTCGTCAGGCTCTGCCCTGTCTCTTGTGCCTCTGATAACCCGTTTACTAGGTGTCCGCCTGGGTTCCCACTGATGGCAGGCAGCAAGGCAGGGACCCCCAGAGCTCTCCCCACATCTAGGGTGGCTCCTCTCTGTGATGGGGGGTGGGGGGAGAGGTTTTTGGAGGTTTTTGTGAAAATTCTCAAGCAAGATGCTGGTTCTCCGCCCAGTCCCTGCCAGCACACCATCGCCGCCCCGTAATAAGTCAGGTGTAGGGCCTCGGGGTGGAGCACGCATGCCAGGACAGGTCAGCAGCTTCAGCAGCCCTTGCTCCCCACTCGTGAAGTGTCTGTGACCCCGTCTTCTCTCCCCAGTTCCCAAGCACAGCCTGGAAAACACACTACGCCCTTTCTCCGGTCACAGTCCGCCGCCCCGCCCCGTCTGCCCTGTGGGTCCCTGAACACGGAGCCTGTCCCTTTTTCCTGCTCTTCTGGCTCGAGTGCAGGGGTCGTGGCCTGACCTGAACTTACTCCTTTGTCTGACCCCTGGTGCAAGGCCGCCCCTTCCCTGGAGTTCATGGAGGGGGTGTGCATCTGTCCAGCCTCCTCTGGCAACCAGAGCCACAGACTTGGGCTCTCCCTTTCCTGGACAACCCCATGCTGCTCCGTGAGCCTCAGTCTTCTCCCCCCTAGGTCTGTGCACCTTCTAGGCAAGGGGTAGGGACCGTGACCCCTGGGTGCTCCCTGGTCTCTGAGGCTGAGAGGCCTGAGGGACTGAGAGGACCCACGGAGTGGGGGCCTCAGCCTGCCCTATGGTATCCCCTATTGAGGACCTACCACCTCCAGGCCAGGAGGGTAAAGTGGCAGAAGTGGAAGTGCAGCCAGAGCCAGCTGGTAGGACCGGAATTTGCACTCTAGTCTCTTGGGCTCTTTTTGCACTGCGGGGAGAAAAGGTGAGCTGGGAGAGAACTAGTTCCAGGGTTGGGTGTATCAGGAGCTGACCCCTTTCCACAAACAAAGTGGGAACTCAGAAGGACCAGTTGGGGGGTGTCACCCCAGCCCGTCATCAGAAGTGGGCAGTGATGGCACACATCTGCTGCCATTGACCTTGGCCTAGTTCCTTCCGAGACCCGCCCCCATCCACCCCAGTGCCCTCCTGCCTGGCTCCCCTTGCCAGAGTCTGCATTGTGGCCATGACTGGGGTGTTGGGGTTGGGTCTTCGGCACCAGGCCTGGCCTGCAACACACCAGGTCACAGTCAGGAACAAGTGACCTGCCAGCCTCCTAGGGTCCCCTCCATTGTCCCTTGGTGAGAAGGGCCTCTGCTTGCTATTCTCTGCCTGTGTGTGGCCCCATCCCTGTGGGATGGTCCTAGGGTCATGGGGGGCCATGCCTTGATGTTCTTATCTACCCACCCAAAGTGGGGAGCATAGGAAGAGAGCCATCCCCAGGCCCAGGTTGGAGGTCGCAGCCTTCCCTGCTTGCACAACGGGTCCCTATTTCACATGGGAGCCCAGACATCCAACTGTGACTCAGCCTTGCTCTGGGACAGCACCCCGCTGGGTTGTCCCAGCACCCGCCTGCTTGTGGAACGCTGCCCCAACTGTCCCCTTAGCCAGGAGTGCTCCCCCAGCGCACAGCCTCCTTCCCGGGGTGGTGCCCTTGTCTCCCCCACGTGGCCTTGAGGTTCCCTGGATAAGTGTGGTCTGTGGTCACTTGCATGGGCTCCCTTGGGGCCTGCTCCCTTGAATGCCTACTGCACTCAGTGCAGGGGTGGCCTGGATCCTGGTCCAGGCTCATGTGAGCAACAGGAAGCAGGATTGCCTGCAACTAGGCTGCCTGTGGGGACCCGAGGCCCTGCCTCTCTGAGGGCCAGTCCAGCAGCTATGGGGCTTGCTGGGGCCAGGGGAAGTCACCCGCCCTCTGCGGTTCTCTGAGTTGGAATCCTGGTTGGGGCAGGGCCCAGGAAGCTGCATTTCTGCTGTGCCCACCAATTGGCAATGGCCCCAGGGTCACTCCTGGAGCCCCGGTCCCACGCTCCCAAGCTCTGCCACCTCTAGGGGTCTTAGTGTAGGTGGGGTTGGGGGACCAGTGGCTGTCACAGCTGAAGTGTGGGTGGTGAGCTGGGCTCTGTTTGGCCACTGAGGGCTCCACCCAAGGCTGCTCTCAGGTCAGGACAGGATGGGGTCCCGTGAACAGGAAACTGCAGGGTTCCACCCCCCTTGAGGCTCCCCCACAAGGGCAGGCTCCAGTCCCTGGCCCATCAGATCCTGTCCCAAACCTGTGAGGCTGGGTCTGTTTCTGCTGTCTTTTGACAGATGAGGAAATCAAGGCATGGAATGGTCTCTCACATGCCCAGGGTATCCCCAGTGCATCAGCCTTACATCACAGTCCTCCAGCCTCAGAGAGTTCAGAAAGTTAGACATAAGATCTGAGAAGTGTGTACTGGGGCCTGGCCCACTATAGTCAGGATGGGCTTCCCCGGAGGAGGGCATGCCAGGCTGTGATGTGATACAAAGAAGGAAGAGGATATGAGAGTAACGTTGCAGATGGGAAAGGTCAGGTGCAAGGGCAAGGAGACATCAGGGCAGGCATGGAGGCAGCCACGGGTCAGGGTGCCTTTGGAGTTGCCAGAAAGGCCGGGCAGCCACCAAGGGGAGGACCCCAGGTGGGCATGGAGGGAATGGCCAGGGACCAGGAGACAAGGCTGAGAGATGGCAGACGCCTGCTCACCTGCCCTGCTTTTATTCAGCTGTGGGTGAGGGGCGCCTGCCTGGGACCCAGGCTCCATCAGTCTGACTTCATCAGCACAGAAGGCTTGCCGGCTAACTTTGTATCTTTTCTTGTTGAGAACTTAGCCACACTGTTAACTCCACTCAGAGCCGCCCTCTATGCGCATGGAAACAATATATTCCTGTGTCCTTCTGGCTTCCCAGTGCTTAGAGAGTGGGGGGTCTCCCAGTCTCCTGGGCCCCAGGTCAAAATGTCTCAGAAGGCCCTGGAGTCGGGATGGGGTGTCAGGGGCCTGGTGAAACCACACCTTGCATTTAGATTTCTCGTGGGTGGCTTCCCCTTAGCCCTGGGAGGGCTGCCTAGATGCTGGGTGAGGTGCCAAGTCAAGGACCCTGCATGACTGACCCTCCTCAACAGATATCCCGGCCCTTTTCTGCAGGGTCAACCCTCAGCCCACCTGGGCAGCAGTGATGAACCCCCAGGGCATATCCCCAGCTTCCCCTCAGTGGCTGGGACCACTGGAGGCCTGTGGAGGTGTTTTGACCTGGGGCACAGGATCTGCTGTTGGGGGAGGGTCATGTGATCAGAAGTTCCCACCACCCAGGCCTCGGGTTCCCCTCCAGGCAGTCTGGGACTTGGTGTCAGATAGTCTGTTAGTATCCTCTGTCCGGTACAGTGGACCAAATGGCTTGAAACTAGAACTGAATGCTCACGGTTCTGCAGGGTGGGAATCTGAAATCGGGGTGTCGGCGGGGGGCATGCTCCTTCCAGAGGTTCCAGGAGAGGGTCTTCTCTGGCCTCCTGGCTTCCAGTGGTGCTCATGAGCTTTGGTGTCCTGGGGCTTGTGGCCACCTCCCTCCAGCCCTGGGCTCTGTTTTTCACATGGCTGTACTCTCAGGGACACTCTGTGTCCCTCCCTCCATCCTTGTGCCTCAGTGTCCCCTCTGGTCCTACAAATCCCTGCCCCATAGCAGGGGGGGGTTGTCAAAAAGGCAAAGAGAGGCCCTATTGTAGGTTGAAAGGTGTCCCCCCAAATCCATGTCCACCTGGAATGTCAGAATGTGACCTTACTGGGCAAGAGTCTTGGCAGATGTAGTTAAGAGTGTGGTCATGATGGGTTGGGGTGGCCCTGAATCCAGTGACTAGTGTCTCTATAGAGGAGGAAGGACATGTAGAGCTGCAGTCTGATGTTACAGCTGGAAGGTGGGGTCCTTCCCACCCAGGTCACTGGCTGTCTCATGCAGCTGTGGCCCTGGAGGGGCTCTCCGAGGGAGGGGTCCACTCCCTCACCGTGTCTCCCCCTCCTCCACCCCCAGGGTGCAAGATCAAGGCTCTGCGAGCCAAGACGAATACATACATCAAGACTCCGGTGCGAGGGGAGGAGCCGGTCTTTATCGTGACTGGCCGCAAGGAGGACGTGGAGATGGCCAAGCGTGAGATCCTGTCGGCCGCTGAGCACTTCTCCGTGATCCGGGCCACGCGGAGCAAGGCAGGCGGGCTGCCGGGTACCGCGCAGGGCCCACCCAACCTGCCCGGACAGACCACTATCCAGGTGCGCGTGCCCTACCGCGTGGTGGGGCTGGTGGTGGGGCCTAAGGGCGCCACCATCAAGCGCATCCAGCAACGGACGCATACGTACATCGTGACACCTGGGCGCGACAAGGAGCCGGTGTTTGCCGTGACCGGCATGCCCGAGAACGTGGACCGGGCACGTGAGGAGATCGAGGCCCATATCACATTGCGCACGGGGGCCTTCACCGACGCCAGCCCCGACAGCGACTTCCACTCCAACGGCACAGATGTCTGCTTGGACCTGCTGGGGGCGGCCGCGGGCCTCTGGGCCAAAGCCCCCAACCCAGGCCGACGGCCCCCAGCCAGCCTCCGTGGGGACACTGCGCTGGGCGCCCCGGGAGGCCCTGAGTCCTTCTACGCGGGCAGCCGCGGGGGACCGCCGGTGCCTGTGCCGGTGCCAGACGCTGGCCCCGCCAGTCCCTACAGCACTTCTGGCAACGGGGGCTTCACCTTCGGCGGGGACGGTCCCGGGGCCCCCACGGGGCCACCCGCCCCCGAGGACTGCGACTTTGGCTTCGACTTCCTGGCGCTGGACCTGACCGTGCCCACCGCGACCACCATCTGGGCGCCTTTCGAGCGGGCCACCCCGCTGTCGGCCTTCGGCGGCTGCTCGGCAGTCAATGGGGCCCCCGCGCCACCAGCCCCAGGTGCCCGACGCAGCAGCGGGACCGGCACACCACGCCACTCACCCACGCTGCCCGAGCCCGGTGGCCTGGGCCTGGAGCTCCCGCTGGCCCGCCGGCCTACACCGGACCCAGTGGGCGCCCTGCCCTGGCGGCCCCCACAGGGCTCCCTGACGTCCTTCTCAAGCAGCGCCAGCTTCTCCACAGCCACCTCGCTGCCCAGCAGCTCCTCGGCCTCCTCGTGCTCGGCGCTGGATTCCAGCGCCCCTGAGAGCGGCCGTAAGCCCCCTGCGGCCCCAGCGCCTGCGGCCCTGGCGCGGGAGTGCGTGGTATGCGCCGAGGGTGAGGTGATGGCCGCGCTGGTGCCCTGCGGCCACAACCTCTTCTGCATGGACTGCGCCGTCCGCATTTGCGGCAAGAGCGAGCCAGAGTGCCCGGCCTGCCGCACACCCGCCACCCAGGCCATTCATATCTTTTCCTAGCTGGGCCCCTCGCGCGCCAGTGGTCCCACCCCCGGGGCCATCAGTGGGCGCAGGGTGGGTGCGCAGGGCCTGGAGGGGAGGAAGGAGGCGGGGCGGCGGGCTGCGCGGCCAGTGTTTACAGATGAGCTTTAACTCTTCCGGTCCCAGGCGTGGAGACTACGCGGCCAAGCGGCACCTCAGTTCTTAACAAATGACAGTATTGAGTCGACAGGTTAAAATAAACCAGAGAGAAAAGGCCTGCTTGCCTGCTTGCACTTTTTATTTAAGACACTCCCTACCCCCTATTCCCACCCCCCGCCCCCAGCCCAAGGTGATCTTTTTAAGAAGAAAAAACAAAACACGATTTTTACAACTCTGGGGTGTACTTCTTTTGTATGTAGCGGATATCAATTTGACAGTGTTTGTTTTCCCACGGTCTCAACCTCTGCAGAAACTGCCAGGAGGAGGATGGCTCCCTTTGGGGGGATCATATGGTTACCCTGTAAGCGGCGTGCAGGCCGGAGGTGTCCAGAACTTTCTAACTTTTTTTTAATTATTAATCCCTTTCTGCTGTGGTTTCTGTTGACAGTTTTTAATTTTTGTTGTTTTTAAAAAAGAAAAAAAACCTTTTACTTTTTACCTCTTGTGTATATGTAGGGAATTTATAGGGAAATATGTACTTTATGGAATAAATTTTAAGACTAAAATATATTTTATTTTAAATAAAGTAACGGACCTTTAATCTTACACAGCTAAATTACTGATTATATATTTGCTGAGCTGACCTAAGGGTTCAGAAAATTGTATCAAGAGTTTTATTTTTTGACTTCAAAGCCTTCTTAATAAAGTCTTTTTACTACACGTGAGACCTTGGCCTGGTGTGGAGTGGGTGGGCATGGGGGAGGGATGGGGTGGGGGCTCAGATCCAGCCCCACCCACCTAGTCTTCCAGGTCAAAGCGTTAGGGCTCAGGATATTCCACGTCTAGGCTTTTCCACAAGCCAGGTGCTGTTGGCATCTTATCGGGCCTCTACAGAGAGGTAGTCCAGCCAGGTCCTCTTATCCTCAGGACCCCACATCCTAGGGGACAACCAACCATGGGGACAGCTGTGAGCCATGTGGGGGAGTGGTGATATTGGTTGCTTCCTGGGGCACCTGCCTGCCGCTGTGGCACTCCCATGCCCAGCAGGATGACATTGTAAAAAGGAGGAGCAGATCTTCCTCCCGGGAGGGGTCCTGAGGTCTCCTGGACCTGAGGAACATCTGAGTGATAAGCCTCAGGTGTCCCCCAGGCATCTAGTTGGGAGCAGAGGACTATGGGGTGTAGGGCTGCCAGACGTGTTTCCTCAGGACTGGGACTGGCCCAGAAGCGAGGACTGGGGGACCACAGATTGGACTGTGGGCAGCTGGCAGGGGCCACCAGAGCTCCAGAGGTGGGAGGAAGCTGTGGAGTGAGTTGAGGATGGGATGTGCTGACAGAGAGGGGCCCAGGACTGCTCCAGGGACAAGCCCAGGGGCCAGGCGACCACAGGCTGCTGGCTCAGGGAACAGGCGTTGAGGAACCTGGAGAACAGAGCAGCCTGGAGGGCTTTCAGGGGAAGGCCGAGAGTTTGGGATGACAGGATTATCTGAAGGGGCAACAGGGACAGAGAGGAAGCAGCCAGAGATGGACAGGGCACCCCCAAGAGCACGTGGCGGCCACCTCAGACCCTCTGGTTGGGATTAGTCACCCCAGGCTGTGGAACCCAGGTGGGTCTCAGGACAGACCCTGTGCACCCAGGGTTCCAGTCCAGTCCTGCTGGAATGTCCCCATCTGTAAATGGGGAAACACCTAGGTCCACACTCCTGGCACTGGTGAGGCTCCAGTCTTGGAGTGCATTGGTACATGGCCCCCAAAAGATACAGACCCTGGAACCTATGTGTGGGAGCTCACAGACCCGTCTTTGCAGCTATAGTCAAGAATCTTGAGATCATACTGCATCAGGGTGGCCCTGTAAGAGTGTCCTTATAAGAGAGCAGGAGTCACAGATGAGGGGAGAAACTGTGTGACTCTGGAGGCTCCTCTGTCCATGGGATTCTCCAGGCAAGAATACTGGAGTGGGTTGCCATTTCCTCCTCCAGGGGAATCTTCCCAACCCAGGGATCGAACCCGTGTCTCCTGCATCACAGATCAATTCTTTACCCTCTGAGCTATCAGAAAAACCTTCATCCTGCATTAGGGTGGCCCTAAATCTAATGTCTTTGTAAGAGACACAGCAGGATCACAGACATGGGGGAAGAAACTGTGTGACACTGGAGGTGAGACAGGGGTTGATGCAATCACAAGCCCAGGACGCCTGGAGTCCCCAGAAGCTGGAAGAGGCAGGAAGGACCGCCCACCACCCGCCCTGGAGTCTTCAGAGGAATCACAGTCCTGCCACACCTTGATCCCTGACTTCTGGCCTCCCAGAACAGGAAGAACATATACCTATTGTCTTAACCCGCCCACTTTAAGGTAATTTTTTAAAGCCACCCTGGGAAACTGATACGGTAGGTAGGCTAGATTGAGGGACTGACTGGATGGCACAGTCAGGTGCAGATAGCATGGCAAAGGTTTAGAGGTGATGAGATCCCAGGACACATCCAGGGAACATAGAGTGGTTGATCAGAGGGACAGGTGAGAATAATGGGAGACGAGTTGAAAAGGTGAATTGGAGCCAGGCCTTGGAATTCCTCCTTTAATTTCTCCCACCTGTGTCAGGACTTTTATTGGGTCCCCATTTTTACCACAGTCTTCCTCACCCTTGGACCTTCCCCTTTACAAGGAGAAATACACACCAGCCCATACTGGACTTTGGCCAAGAGAATTCAAATGTAAATAGCCCCAGGTGGCCGGAGGTTCCTCTGTGGGCCACATCTCTCTGGAATGTTCCAGTCCAGAATTGTCCCATAGGGCATCTTGTTATGATGGCAATGTTGTAGACCTATACCGACCAGTACAGGAGCCATCAGCCACATGGGTGACCCAGCATCTGAAATATGACTTGTGCAATCAAGAGATTGAATCTTAAATGTTGTTTGGCTTTAATTTAAATTGAGATAGCATCTAGGGAAGCTGTTTACTATGTAGACTCTTTTAAAGCAGAGAAACAGGACGGCCAGTGTGCCCAGAGATTGTGATGAGAGTAACAGGGAGTGGAGGTCCTTATCAGAGTGGCCCCAAGGTGACAAAGCCACGGGGGAGGGAAAACCTATGGGCTGATGCAGTCGGCAGCATAATAATCCCAAAGACATCACATCCTGATCCCAGGGCCTGTCCCCGTGTCACCTCATGCGGCAGAGGGGACTCTGCAGGTGGGATTAAAGCCCCTGAGATGCAGACAACCCTGGATTCCCCAGGGGGAGCCCAGTGTCATCACAGGGTCCTTATAAGAGGGAGGGGGAGGGTCAGAGGCAGAGATATGGAAGATTTGCACTGTTGGCTGTGATGATGGAGGGAGGGGGCCGCAAACCAGGGATGCAGTGCCTCTAGAAGCTGGAAAAGGGGGGAGCCAGTGTTCCCCGGGAGACTCCGGAGGGGACAGCCCTGCCCACGTGTGAATCTGAGGACTTTTGCCCTCCAGGACTGTTAGGGAGAATAAATTTGTGTTGCTTTAAGCCCCCACATGTGTGGTGCTTTGTTTCAATATAGGAAACTCGCACAGCTGTGTTAAAAGCTGCCCCAGCACCGTGGAGAAATGGCTGATTCTATGTTCTGTGCAGGGAAACTACGAAATGAGCCTAGACATCTTGCAGTGCCAGAAAGTAAAGACATCCTCAAAACACCCCATGAGAATGAGGGCACATCCAAGGGACAGCGAAGCCAGATGCCAGAGCTGAAATAATGCATCCTAGAAGATGGAGGACGCCCAGTGAACTTGAATTTCTAATACACAGTGGATCATGCTTTTAGTCAAAATCTGTCTCTAATATTGCCTGGGACACCCCTCGACCTGATGATCATTCAGTTATTTACCTGAAATTCAGATTTAACAGAATGTACTATGTTTTTATTTGCTTCATGTGGTAACTCTATGAGGTATGAAGGGGAATGAGAACCCACTGATTTGCAGGGAAATACATATATGCTGGAGAGGTCCCTCCTGTGATTCCTGAATTCCACTCTGACTTTAAAGATGCAGAGCAGCCTAACAGGATGTGGACAACATATTAAAAAGCAGAGACCTCACTTTGTTAACAAAGGTCTGTAGAGTCAAAGCTTTGGTTTGGCCACTTGATGTGAAGAGCCAGCTCATTGGAAAAGACGCTGATGCTGGGAAAGATTGAGGACAGGAGGAGTAGGGGGCAGCAGAGGATGAAATGGTTGGATGGCATCACCACTCAATTGGACATAAATTTGAGCAAACTCAGGGAGGTAGCCGGGGACAGGGGAGCCTGGTGTGCTGCAGTCCATGGGTTCCGAGAGGCTGGGACACGACTTAGGGACTGAACAGCGCCAGGATACGGGGTGGGGACTGGCAGGTTCATGAACCTGGAGCAGAATTAATTCCCCACACATTTATGGATATGGACTGAGCGCCTTGATCCTTGCCATTCCAGGAGCGGGTTTGCCAGGAGGAAGCCAGAAAGCCTCAAGCACTTTTGCTGCTATTAACCCCTTGCGCCATCCCCAGCCGGGCCCCTCCAGCGGCTGGGAGGGACCAGAACTGCCTGTCCTCTGTCGCCACCGTGTGGCCAGAGCTGCGCATGACACTCTGCCCGATACAGCTGCAGAGCCCGCTCCTTATTATTTATGTAGTAAAGTGGGTGTAACTGCCCTCGGCCCAGGCCTGTGGGCTCCTCAGGACACAAACCGGTCCCCTTCCACAGCCCACCATCCATCGCTCAGCAGCTCAGCGCCGGCACGCAGTGGGCCCTCCCTAAACGTTTGCTGACTGAATACACGACAGGGACCGATTCACCCCACCCAAATAAAACAGGGTTTTTTCTCTACCCTAACCAGATCCCTAACCGCCTGACCTCCTGAGGTCCTGAGATACTGCGCACATTTAAATACATACCTGAGTGGGAGAGGAGGTAACACAGACGCTGGAGGCCACCTGCTTTACACCATCTGACCATTGGGAATTTACCCTGGTGTCCAGTGTGAGCAGGGCTTGGAGTTTATTCTTCCAGATAATTAATGTAAGTTCTCCCCTAGGCACTGTGGTCATTTGGGGCCTGGATCATCCTCTGCGAGGCGTCCTGGACACTGCGGGGGTTGACCAGCATCCTTGCCCTCTCATTCGATGCCAGGAGCCCCCCTTCCCCAGTTCTGACGATGAAAATATTCTAAAGTCTCCAATGGGGGCAGGAACCTCCCCTCCCCCAGTGAGAACCATTCATCCCATTTCTCAGGGATTGGACCAAACTGGCCCTGAACATGCTGTGTCCCGGAATCTCCCCACATACCCACCCACATGGAGGGTTCCGCTTGCAGAGTTGGAACATCTGATTTTGGTTTATTTCAAGCAACCCTTAAGATGGATTCATGTCCCAGCTAAAATGACTTATGCTTGACTCGTAAAACTTTTTAGTGTTGGAAACGTCACGTGTAAATCCAAGCAGAGAGGGTCAATCCAAAGGACCCAGCTTCAGCAAATAACCAGTTCTCAAATTCCCTAGCAATTCTCGGCTGTTTCTCTCCACCTGCCCCACCCCCACCAGGCTCTGTAGCAAACTGCATTTGTCCACAAGGCCAGGATGCTTACTGAGTAACACACGTAGCCACAGTGTCACCATCAGAACTTAAAATTGTTAACAATAACTTAAAAAAAAAAAGTTAAGACATGTGGGATCTAGATACCTGACCAGGGATCAAACCTGGGCCCCTTCTATTGGGAGTGCAG